CACAACTCAACATATACACAATTCCTGAAGTGGGGGGGTAACATCTTATATTCCTTGTTTTCCCTAACAGTTTAAAGCTCAGAGATATTTAGTTCACTATCCCTAAAAGACTTAGAAAACCAGAAAATATTCTCAGTGGAGAATCTGGAAACAGAGATTTTAGGCATTTTCTTTTCAAAATGACTCAAAGTGATTCATTCATGTTGTCAGGCCTAAATTCGGTCCCAATCGTCCCTGTATGTATCAGATTCATCAGCTCCCTATGGAGCTACAGAAGGCTTTTTACAACTTGTATTCACATTTGCAGTAATACTCCCAAGACCTGTAAACAGCCTCTGATGTGTTCAATTGGTAGAGTTTCCCTTTAAGGGTACAAAAAGGATTCGGGTGGCAAGGGGAGAGTGAATGTTATGTTTTATTGTGTTAAAGCTAAACAGCTAGGCTCCCCCCTGGGTTATTACTGTTTTTCATATACCCTCGTATTGAATTTGAAAAAAAACACCTTTCCCACAAGATTCAAAAAATGATATAACCGTGAGAAATTGATACAACATCTTTAACCATGTAACTCGACTCAAACCTTAATACCCTAAGGGAAATTCCACTGATGTACACATGAATAAAACCCCTTAAAAGGTGGGGTAGGTAATTTCGGAGAAACCAGCTCGAGATCGCTAGAATTTGAAAATACACAACCGGAAAAAAATCTGCCACTTCCTTACAGAGCCCCTCCTCCAACACACACGAACGCGCACATGACCAATGAGGGCACGAGATAAGTTTGTGCACAGATGGAAGGCTGACAGGCAGGTAGGCCATCCAGTTATTTTAGCCGGGCCGGCTAAAATGATTGGTCGTGCTTTTTACAGTACTACGGCTTCCACAGATGACATTTTTTTATGGATTTTTTGTCAAAGCACTTAAGATATTCATTGCTATCGGGATGTTAAGAGCATTCCATGGAATATAACAAAAAGTGGGGGGGGGGGGAATGTGGGAGAGTAACTTCCTTTGAAGGGAACTTTGGGATTTTAGCCTTTACAGACCATTTACATGCACAAACACATTTTTAACACGCTACAGGAAATGGAAAACCCCAAAAGCCATAATAGGGCCCCTTTAAATTGATTTCCATTGTATTGAACTTCAGTAAGGTAAGGAAAAGGTACAACGTTGAAAGATTCTTCAAAAAGTACACACAAATATACCAATTTAAAATGTAACTTACCAGAAAGTATTACATCAGATACATGATAAAATAAATCCATTCTTAGTTTCTACAGTAACCTGCTGTACACTGCATAAAGTGCAACACACGCAGTGAATATTATTCCACTGCACACCACCGTTTTACTTTACTACCTGTATAATATTTATCTCGCTAAAGCGGTAAAATTTAGATTACATCCTGACTTTTAGAATGCTTTAAAATCCTTTTGACTATTCCCAACAAATTGAAATTCTCACACAAGAAATACATTAAAATAAAGCGTCCTGTAATCTTTAGTTTCCTGTTCTCCCAGAGTGAAACTTCTTTAGATATTGACATTAACGAAGGAGGGCAAAGACAATAGCTGAGTAGCAGATAGACAAAAGAATCACGAGTGAATTCCATTGAATGAGTTATCTATCTACTTAAAACAAGTTCTGGCTCACTGAGTGGTGAAATGACATTTAGAGCATCTTGCAGGGTTTATGCACCAGTAAGTGTTCTTCATAGGTAGCTGGCAATTAGGCGTGGTGAAACATCTCCAGTAACGTCTATAATTCATCTTCCTGGCATGTGAAGAAGGCAACTTGGGACTAATGTTTTGTCTCTTGTGTCAGAGGAGTTCAATGGAAGCCAGTCACTTCCTCTCTTTTTCCTCAGCATTGAAAAACTGCCATTTTCTCCAAAGACAGACAAAAGATGAGCAGGAACTCAGACATTTTCCAATCAATGTTCCTGGAGCTCGGCCACGACTCGTTTAGGCTTTAAGACGACCTTGACGTTCAGTGGGCATGCATGTGCCACCACAGAGCCAGCAAACACACACAGTAAATCACCTCCTGTTTACACACACACAGACACACTCTCTTGTGTCTGGGCTGTGGGCTTGTTAGCACAGAGGCCAAGCTAATCCAAATACAGTGTTTAGCACTGTGAAGCAGCTGGAAGCACATAAGCTGTTAACAAGGTAAGGTGAAAATGGTTTCTGGCATGCTAACCTCCTCCTCCTTCACACTTTACCTAGCAGCAGCTCAGTGTGCACCCCTTCAACCGCGAACCCACCACAGCACTCACACTTTAACACTTTCACTCAATTGTGTTCATGCATGTAAACGCTCATGCGTGCCGTGCCAGGACACAAACATGTTAGCACACCACCGCTGCTCTACATCTGCTCTGATGGCAAATCAGACAACCAAGCAGAAACTAGAAGTCATACAAGGAATTATTTATGGGTAAAACCAGTAGTAAGAGTGTTTGATAACTCTACTGTTGTCGAAAGCTTGTCATGATCACCTGAAAAACATGAATGGGTGACCATGAATACAGACCAACTCGCAAAAACATCCAAGTTGTGAATCCGACTGTATCTGAAAAGTCAAACGAATATGGATGCTGCTTTAAGGGTTATGTAGTTCTTATTTTGAGGGGCCACTTTTTAATGAAGCAGGTCTTTTCTGGTGCCAGTTAACGCAACACCTTGCAAGCAACTTGTTTTATTGTGGTCCTTCAGCTTGCTTCAGGTTTAAAATCAATATAATACCATACAGGGGATTCTTTTTCGCAATGTACGCTTCCATGACAGCATTCAACTAGTGTAACATGTGGGCAGTGTTAATTCTTAAGCCCCATGCGTGCAACACACACACACCAGGACTAATATAAAAGGCAAAATGCTGGTGGATTGAAACTTTAACATACTACGAACACAAATGCACATAACAAGCAAAACTACACGGCGATCAACAAATCTTGAGGTTGCCACACATGGGAATCTTTCCCATCTCTACTCTCCTTTCCATATGAAATAAACAGGGAAAAAGCCTGTTTGTTTGCCTCCCTCTTTTAATGGAAGCAGGGCGTGCCAGTCTGGGGACGGCCAACACTGGACTGCAGCACGGACCGAGAAAAAGCTTTTGACAACTAAGCAACAACAGTGAAAGCCTGAGATAAACTACAGCACAAGTAGGCCAGCATCTCAGGGAGCCTCCTCCTCCTCCTCCTCCCCTGTCCTGTCTTCACCCTCCTCTGGCTCCCTTGCACAGCATCCACAGGGCTCAGCTGGTCTTTTCCCCATCAACACAAGAGTACTACTATTCCACTCCACGGAGCTCAATATACAGTTGTCTTCTTCTACCAACACAACACAGAGTGGGACTAATGGCTGCTGAGGCGTGTTTGATATATATATATGTTATATATATACGATACTGCTGCAGGTTTGTGTTGAAAATGGAAGGCATCAGCAACACGACGTGCACATCAGTGAGGAGTGGTGGAGTAATAAAGTGGCTCTGATGAAAACGTAATGGCCCCTTCACCTTTATTAATGGAAGGATGGTGCGCCCACTGTAATGACACATGTAGCTCTGCGCAGGAAAGCAGCTCCATCACACTCACTAACAAACAAACTGCAGGAGGAGCTCATAGCTGGCCCCACTAATTGACTCACTGACAACTTGCTAACTGGCTGAGCATTTTTTACCAAATGAGCCTTATAGCGTGCTACACTTTAGTTCAGCAAAAGGACGCGTTAATGTATGAATAATATAAAAGAGATCCCGATCTGTTCCGTGTTTGCTCACTGCTCTCTATCTGCCTCTGCAGTTTGCAACACCTATGCTTCCCTGTGAGAAAAATCCCAGGCGTTGCATTCTTCCCCTCTTTGCAGGCACTTGCGCTACAGTCACACAAGCAGCAACTTATTAATATCTCGCTTTCAAATGCTAATTCCTCTTCATGCATAAATCATAACTCCAGAGGTGGCTGGTGTAGTGTAGCAGCTTTAAAAAATATTTTAAGTATGGGGGGTGCCAAACAGCCTGCATGTAGAAACAAATGATATGAATCCACCACTTGCATGAAAAGTGAGCGTCCCAGTTAAGAGTCTTATAGCAAGGCCAACCTTTTTTGCTCTAATAAGCCTGAAACTTCTTCAGTATCAGCAAAAACCTGGAAGAATTCGAACTTTTAAGTCAAGGGATGTCACACAGATCCAACAACCTCGCTATTTTTCCTGCAGGTGTTTGTTGCTGGATATACCTGCACTGATGTTTAAAACCATAGGTAGGGAGAATGCAGCATGCTCCAATAGTCGCACATTCGCTAACCGGGTTCGATTTGACTTGAACAGAACTTCCTGCTACTGATGGAGGAGTCCTGATGGGTGAGCAGCCTGCCAACCTACAGCCACTTTCCACCGCTTTGTTGTGTGTTTGGCGTGCTGTGCTGCAGATGCTGCTCTGTATGATACAGCCGCAGATCAATGAATCATTCTTTCTGCCTGCATCGTCACCAAATGTGTCCTCCAGAAAGTTGGTTTAGGAGGACAATCAGAGCCATTTTAAATATTTGTTGCTTCATTGAGTTTTATACGGTTTGAGATTGATCATCTGAGGTCATGAAAACCTGGGAAAGTTACTGCAGCTTTGCAAAACAGAATCACCAAACAATAAAATGAACCTTTGAGGATACATGGAATAAAAGTAATTTAAACTATTATAGGTTAAAAATGTATGGATAAATTACTCTTTATGGATGCAAAACAAACATATTTAAATGCATGTCATTTTCTTCATCAGGTGTGATTTTCTTGATTGGGTGCAGTAATTTAGACGTGATTATGATTAAAAGGCTGGATTATTTGCTCATATTTATTCATCTTGGGCTCATAAAGCCAACTACTCTTCTTTCCTGGTTCTTATAATGCCATGCCATTCCCACTTGATGGCCCACATGTTCTTATCCATCCACATGGGATGGACTTGTATGGGTGTGTTTGGTCGCCTACCTGCCAGGAGCTGGAGGGGATCTCTGCGAATTTGCCCAGTCCCCCGAAGGTGTAGCATCGGTACATGTGATCCAGAGACTCTGAGCAGTGCCATAGCAAGCCGAAGCTCACAGAGTCCTTGTTGTTGTGGTGGTGGAGGTGGTGGTTGTTGTTCCTCAGCTGGTCCTTAACAATCCAGGCAGGGGATATGAAGCTGAAACTGCACACGGCGACCAGAGCGGAGGAGAGGAGCACCCAGAAACAGCCCACACAGCTGAACATGGTGGCAGCGTGGGGCAGAAAGCCCGGAGACAGACCCAGATCGATCCCGAACCCGGCTTCTTCTTCTTTCTTCTCCCGGCCCAGGAGCGAATGCATTTGGAGCTCACACCTTCAGGAGCAAGACTTCAACTTCAGCCGCTCACCACATCAACAAATAAATCACTGGCACATCCGCAGTTTGTGTCCCCAGAACATCAGCCCTGGACAGACCAACCAGGAAGAAAACGTCCAAAACACATCAGCAGGAGTGATGGTGATCAATGATCATGAGTCAAGTCATCCACGCCTCCACTCAGCCTGGATAAATGCCCAAACCTGCCATACACACGCGCAAGAGGTTTGTCACACCCAAAAACTGGGTGCGCATTGGTCATATCAGTGCAGGTGGAGCAGCAGTTTTTAATTTATACCAACAAACACAACATGTCCCGCAGCAGGTGCCGCCGCTCTCCTCTGCTCCTGTCTGTTCACTCGCTCTGCCTCCGCACGGACAGCAGCGCACTTTGCGTTTCAGCAAGAGTGCGTCTGGACAACGTCAAGCTCACAACGGTTAAAATAAGTACTTCCGGATGGGTTTTTCAAAGTTAAGGCATGATAGGAGAAGCGCGGAAAGCAATTATGGCAGTGCTCTGAAAGTTTTCGCAGGAAAATAAGGAATATTTTTAAATAATTTGCACTAAAGAACCACTACACTGATTTGACACGTCAATGTCAGTTTACTGTATGCTAAATAGCCTACATGCTAGGCTCAAGTTTCCCAAACTTCAGACAATGTACCTATCCACATTTCCAAAGTAGCCTTCCAACTGCAGATACACAAAATATAACAACAAATACTTACCTTGCCTTTGCTCTTCTTCTTGCTCTGTGACTGTAGCCTATATCCCAGAATGAAGTAGCCTTGAAGCATCTTCTCAAGTTCTTGCTAGGCGCCGCCATGTTGTCTTTTAAAGGTTTTTTTGACTCAGTAATGTCAAGACTGGCGGGGACATTAGTATGATATTTATTCTGTGTTAAGCAAAGCTCTTGCATATCACTAGGTAGGTTACCACCGTTTGGGATTCACTTGGCTATGTAGGCTAATGTCCTCTCCTCTTTGGGTCTGTAGTATTGAATGCAACAGTAAATGTTGATAGTATGGTGGAGGCCTCGCGCACGCTGGGAGATCACTGAGAGCACTTATTTAACAAAATGACCTTTATTCTGAAGGCAAAACCCCACTTTTCCGGTGTATTGCACATATTTTGTTTATCTTTGCAGACTGGGTGTCTGTCTGGTCGCGGCTACTTGCACCTTGCACTTTGTTAATGCAAAGTATCATTTGTAGGCCTACAGCTTTCACAAACAGCCAAGCACACCAATGTAATAAAAAAACTGTTAACATGTTTAAATGTACGTTTTTTATATTAATGAAATTGTTATCTCTGCATATCAAACACTTTTCGGCATCGACATGAATTAAAATGGGTACATTTTTTTAATTAATTGTTGTCCTTAGCTGCCTAATCTAACAGCATCTACGCCAATCAGAGCTCAGAACAGAGAGTGTTAGTTTGTATCGAGGTGGGCGTTGCCTCGACACGTGCAGGTAGCCCAAACCACATAAGCAGTAGGCCTATACTAATACACGGTGAAATAGTACAAGGCTATTTTGCTCACCGAGGTGTAAAATATGCATCACTCTGAACAGCATTAGCATTGGGATGATTGTATCTTTAAAATAAACACTAGTATTAAATGAAAACAATTGGAGCCATGTTCAGAGGTGATATTATACTGCACAACTGTTATTACTACTTAGAGGTGATTACAACAGTGAGAAAACAGTAATTCAACTATTTAAATGTGTTATGGGATGCGTGTGGCGCAGTGAGTTAGTGCGCTGGTGTTCGGATCAGGGGGTCACAGGTTCAAACCCCACTGCAGTCAGCATGTCGTTGTGTTCTGGGCAAGACACTTCACCCCAAATTGCTCCTGTGGGGATTGCCCACAGTATTGAGTATGTAAGTCGCTTTGGATAAAAGCGTCTAAGAAGTAACATGTAATGATATACTTCACTGAAAATGAGTTTTTGCCCATTAGTTTCAACTGTACTGTACAATTTGTGGATGTCAAGAGAAAACAGATGAGCCTTATTGAAAAAGTACTTACTCTTTCTCATGTCCAAAACAATCTGCTGTGTTAACATTGCCCCCTCCTGGTCAGAGGTGATAATAGTTCAACCTAGTCCTGTTGGCACCAGGCAGGTTACCACATACTAATTATGTTAGTATTGTAAAAACAAATAAGAAATGTATCACAACTACAACAAAAATAGCAATAATATACCAACTCTGACATATGTCAAAAAATAAGACAGACACATTTTATAATATATGTATTTAAATCAAACACAATTTAAATATATTATAGATTAAGTACACATACATACATGTCAGAAAACATTAGTGGTACATAGTACCAAGAGTCTTTTCTGGTTCTTTTCCACATCTTGGTAAGGGTCTAAATTAAAAAAAAGTTTTATTCACTGAGCACATTTTCCAGTTGAACAGTTCTGTCATCACTGATATTTGTGTCAGCGATGCATTAAAAAAAAAAAAAAAATCAGATCACCATAAAAAAAAGGGCTAACATTAATATATGGGGTAAACCAGAAATCTACATGTACATATATAGAACATTAAGGACATGGAGTTTGGAGTTTTCCAACACAACTGGAGCACTTAAGTCCATTAAGGGAATATTTCTTCTTCTTCTACGCTCTGTAAAAGGTGCCAGGAGTTTCATATAGGAGCTGAGCCGGTCCATGGAACAAATCTGCTCTCCTTCTGTTTCATTGTCACGTTTCCAAAAATGTTCTACAGTACGCAAAAACAGCCGAGGTGGGACAGCTCACGAGTGAACGGCAGACGACACTACTCCGACGGGCTGCGGGAAGCATACGCAGAAAACTGTACAACACTGATTTTTCATCTGCTTAAGCCTTACGTGGCTAACCCTTCAACTTCATCTAAAAACAAGGAATGCTTAAAAAAGGTGTGGGGAGGAGTGTCGTGAGGGCAAATTCAGTCTTTGTCACATTCTCCATAGGTCCGAGATAAGAGAGACATTATGTCCAGACAGTGTCAAGTGTGTGTGTGTTGTAGGTTTCCTTCCTTCAGGAGTGACTTCAGTCCGACGTAAGAGCTTCACCTTTGGCGACCTCACGCGTACCTTCGTAGTATTATGGAGTTGGAAGATTGGTGCAAAGATGTACTTCAACTTTATCATGACCCACCCAAGCTCACACATTCATACAGACACATTGGGGAGATGATCAAATGCCTTGTTCGTAATGAGATTAATGCAGTTCATTGTGGAGTGAGCCCTGCGTACAGTTTGTCACTGGTCTGGCCAGTGTCTGCAGGGCGTGATGGTCCTTTGGTTCCTCAGCGGGGTCATAACTGCAGACAAAAGAGAGAAGAACAAGTTATTACACACATCACCGCAGAGGAGAGGGCTTACCGGTTGAGGATCCGTACCTTGGTGGACTTGCCGGGGCTGTCGTGACCTGACTGGTGGACGACGTCGTTGACGATCATCTTGGCGATCTGCCACGCCATCTCCTCCTGCGCCTTGATAGGGATGTCAAAGCACAAACTTTAGCTTTAAACTGCTTTTAAGTATATTTTTTAAGTAACATTTTAGCATGTTGTTTCCTCACCTCGTCCGAGTTGCCTTGGACCCATTTCTTCATGGCTTGAGAAAAGATTGAACCTGAAGGAGAGCAGAGGGAAGGCTGAGTGAGGCTGCACATAAAGCACATACAAAACAGCACATTAACTTCACACACTGTAGCCTAATTTCACTTCCTCAAGGTGAGTTAAACATATTTGCGGCGTTATAATAGACTTAAAGTTTGGCATAGTCATTCTGTAGCCCAAATATCTTGTACTCTATTCTAGACCAAGAGAAAACACTCCCTACTATAATAAATACATGTTTGTTGCCTCATCTTAGGAGAAGTTGTAGCAGAGAACTGTTCTTGTATATTTCGGAAAGGTTTGAAAGCATGTGGAGAATAGGATTATGGAGAAGATGATAATATTAAAGTATCTATGATACTTCAGTATTTCATTTTACATTCTGTTCTATCTTTTTTATATGCCACATTTCTCTTATTTCTGTAACTTACTTGCACAGTTATGTTTATTTTATCACACTTTTATTATGCCTTTTTATTTTTATGTGAAGCATATTATATGTTGCCTTGTTGGAGGAGCGGAGACTGGGAGATGTTCAGTGCCAACAACTCTGCTCACTATTGTGCATAAAGCCTTTAAACCTTGATTCTTAAGATAAGGTTTATATTCATGGATGCACAGTAGATGTTATACACTGCACTGACATCAAATATGAAAAAGTGAGGGCCAAGATTCAAAGGAAATAATGAGACACAGAAGAAAGAGTGAGCTGTCATGCCTTTGGATTTCTTCACGTCCGGCTCTGGCTCGGCCTCCCTGATAAACTGACCCATCTCGTTCACCTTCCCGAAGGTCATCCTTCTGAGAGAAGAGGAGAGGGATGAAGACAGAGCAAACAGGCACAACTGCAACATTCTAAAATCACTGCGTGTGTTTTGTATCAATCCAAATTCAATGAAGGGGAAATAAATCCGACTGACTACAGTTGGGACTCGTCAGCTTTCTGTCCCCAGAGTCAGAACTAAACATGGAGAAGCAGCGTTCAGTTCTTATGCTCCAAATATCTGGAACAAACTCCCAGAAACATGCCGGTCCGCTGCAACTCTTACTACTTCTAAATCCAGGCTGAAGATTTTTCTTTTTGCCGCTGCTTTTAATTGAATTATTAACATCTTAAACTGCACTGTAACTTTTATCCATGTATTTTTTCTTTTAATGTTTACTTCATTATCTTTGCTTTTTAATGACTGTTTTTAAATGCCATTTTCCTAATGTCTTTCATTTTTGTAAAGCACTTTGAATTGCCTTGTGTTGAAAGGTGCTATATAAATAAACTTGCCTTGCCTTGCCTTGCCTTACAGCTTTGCCTTTCAATACAATTATTTCCTTTAATAATTTGCTCATAAAACACTTTGAGAGTGAGTCAATACAAACAAAACAGTTACAAGCATTAAAGCCAAAAGGCAATGTGGGCAATCAATAGAACATAAGAATATGGGAGAACAATGGAACTTGGGGGAAATGACCGATAGCTAAATTGGAGAACAGCAAATATCTGAAGAGTTCATTTAAAGAGATGATGTTAAACACCGATTTAGCCCTCTGGTGCATTAGACACTCACCCAGCGTACGGCCGCTGGTACAAGGACTCAGGGTCCAGGCTGGCGACGTCCACCGTGATCGCCTCGTCGAAGTTTTTCAGGATCTTGATCGCTGCCCTTTTGGCCCCCTGTTGCAGCGTGAAGAAAACATGAAGTGAATGTTTGGCAGCGT